GTGTCATCCACACCGGATCACGCGATGACATGCGCACTGACCGCAACGGCATACACTCATCCATGTGGTGTTTAATTTTTGCTTCCAAATTATTCACTGCCTCCTCGACATCATTTAAGTTTAAAACACTGTCCCAATTCTCACTTACTAGTTTTAGGTACAATCCCTCCTTCCGGTGTCTTCTACAATCCCTAATGCGAACGTTTTGTCTGATCGGCTTTAATTTCGTTCCTGCTGGTAAAATGACCGCTGTGTGATCTGTTTTTATGGACACAAAGTATGGAATGCTCTTTGCAAATAAATCCGGCCGGTTTGTGAAGACCTTGTCCAAATACGCGTCGCCTCTTGTTGGAAAATCTACAAGAGAGTCCCATCCTGTCATTACAATAAGCTCATTAGTGTCAAGCCGATTAACATCGCCTCCGGCAACAATAGTCAAACCAGGATGTTGATCTAGTGCATTGTCCATTAAGTGGGTTAAGTATTGCAAAAAATCCGCTGGTTGGTATGTAGGTTTAGGCGGGTGATAAATACCACACGTTAATAACAAATGTCCCGAGGGTAATTTAAAAATCACATACAACAGCTCGTAAAGCTTCGATCTGTAAACATCGATGATGTTTAAGTTACTCCTCGCGTAGATGGCAATCCCTCCCTTACTTCTTTTATCCAGTCCCGACCAGTTTCTATCCCGTCTGAAAATAGAATAGCCAGGAATGTTGACGATAGCATCCGGCATTTCTGGTTTTAAATGCGTCTCTGATACAATACAGACATCAATGTCCTTATTATTCAAATCGGCTTCCAGCGCCACTGCCGCTCGAACTCTGTTCTTGGTTTTGGCCAGACTGCATATATTTGTAAATAAAAACTTTGGTACTGCAAATTCAGAAACAGTTCGCGAGACGGGGTTCTGATTCCGTTTAGGAATTGGGACAAGGTTCTTCATATCCCTGGCCCTGATAGATGAGCTCACATCTCGAATACTAAAAATAACTGGAATAGATTTCTCATCACGGCTTTCACCAGAAGATACCTTACCCACGTCCACTCCCAGTTCACGTCGCCAGCTGCCGCCCCGACAGCCTCTATACCGATAAAGATTAAACATGTTCAGTTTCTGAACAACAGCAGGCATCTGGCTTCTTGAAGTGTCTTTTTTCCTCTCAGCTCTATCACAGTGTGAACAATAATTATTGGACTACATGTAGTCGTTTCCGTCTTAACATTAAACACACCAGTTTCTCTCAGTGCTTGTGAAAGCAGTAGGTCTTGGCATGTCATATAGGCCATGAACTTGTTTAGCGGATTATCTGTTCGTTTAAGAAAGGGGTGCAGTGTTGGTTTGTTTGTTAACAGGGTTTACCAGTTTGCTGAGTTTGATGACGTAGTCATGCCATGGGCCTTTGGAGGCACTCACCTGTTTGGGAAAGGGTTTAGAAACCGGCTATTTGTCGGTGGATTGCCGCTGGACACAACTACCCAAGAGCTGGCAGAATATTTCTCTTTTTTTTGGTTCAGTTATTGAGGCGAAAGTCATATTGGACGAGCCCAAATCTCTAAAGGCCATGGAGTTGTCACTTTCCAAGTGAAGATGATGTTCGGATGATGACCAGTTTGCTGAAAGGAAAGAGTTGTTATAATTAGCTATTTTTAGTTTATGGATGACGTAGTCATGCCATGGGCCTTTGGAGGCACTCACCTGTTTGGGGAAAGGTTTAGAAACCTCAAATTGCACTAGATTACTCACTCACTCAATCACAGCATTGTCGTTGATTTATTAAGTGTAAACACTTTACTTTTATTTAGGTTCAGGCCCAACATATGACTTTGCGACATGATGGTACACATTCCAACTCAACCACTACATCTACCTACACTGCACCGGGGAACTGCGTACATCCTCACCATATAGCTTTCTGCTTTGTTCCCCTTTTTCTTTCAAGTCTCATTTAAGCCCACTGGGCCTGAAGAATTCGCTTTTTTGGTGGTGTGGGAAGCTTAACCCACCAAATACCGGCCCGCTCTCAGGGTTACATGAGGCACAAATTAAGTACCATCATCATCTAGACTTAATGGTGTAGGTTGAGCGCCTGAAATGATTGACTATCCAGGTCGCACACTCCAAAGCCACAGCTGAGCCTTCGTAACGCCGTAGGAGATCTGGCTGCCAGAAACCCTCTCCAATTCATGGCCAGAGCCTCAAAGGCAATGTGCCTAGGCTCAAAGCATGATTGGGCCCACTCTCTAATGGCTGGGAGATCATAATAGATACACTTGTCATGATGGGTCCTTTTGAGGTCAGCATTGTCTGCAACGATTTAAATGTCTTATATTGTCAGGTTGTGACCAGGTCTGGTCTGCGCATACCTGCTGGAGTTGGTGTCGCCGGTTCACGGCCAATACCGCACCAGATCCTTTCTGCATCAGACATTACCGGATCAACAATCTTGTCACGCCTTGCAATGCAAGATGCATGGGTCCTAGGACACACCTGTAAGATGTGGCCGAAGGACTCCGGTCTGCCGCAGCAATCGCATCTGATGTCATGTTGGGGCCGACCTCTAGCTGATCTTAAGGCTGTGCTGACCAAGTTGCCCCTAATCTTGATCGCACCAATATAAGCATGCCCCTTAAGAGTCATATTCCCCGATGTTACCCATTGATGTTGCGCAGGTACCTGTGGGGCTATCGCCAGTCCTAGCTCATCACGTGAGCTGTGTAGTCGTTGTGCTAACACACTCCTCAGACCCTGCTGTGTTGCCACAACAGAGCCAATTCAGAGTGGTCTGGTTTGCTCTGAGGAGTTTATGTGCGGCCGGAGTTTCTAGCATGGCACGTACCGCCTGGTCCGGAGAATTAGCCATTCTAGCAGTTCTAACAGAGAAAGACTTAATCCACCATCAACCGCCTTAGCATGGGAAAAGGCGATTGAGGTATCCTTGTATCCTTCAGGAGTTTAAGGCAGGACCTAACAGCAGATCACATAGTCTGATGGCGCCATTTCAAGTACTTAGAAGATGATAGTGTTAGAGTGAGCTGTTGGATTAGTTTGGGAACCAGATGACACCTAGCGATATACACCCTCTGTTAAGGCTTTTAAGATTTTATTCAGCTCCTCCTTCAGCGATTCAGCAATGGTCACCTTAGTACTTTTTGGTGAGATGTTAATGCCTGAGTACTTGTAGACTTGGCTGACTGTTTGGTACTAACTCCCCACACACCCGAAGGTACAGGTGTGGATACACCTTCCACTTCTTTGCTCTGCCATCTATGTCTAACCGGATACTCACTGACTTTCCTTGCAGACCGGTACTGAGTTCCAGGGGTTACAGCGTGAGCTGGTGGCCCAAATCATCAGCCAGCGCCTGAAGTCCAGCCGAGGACCTTGTGATTAACGCAATGTCATCCACAAAGGCGTGGTGGTTAACTCTGACACCTCCAACTTCCGTTCCAAGCTCCGGACCAAGGCCGGCATGTGACAAATCAATCACGGCATTGAATAAATGGACGTTCTTCGGTCTCTTGTCTGACCCCCCGCTCAATCCTGATCGGTTCGCTTAGCTTGGTGCCGATCCTAAGTCTAATCTGTGCATTGCTATACAGCTCACGCAGGTAGCCCAGGAAAGGTCGTGGAAGCCCTATGCGAGCGGCTGCAACCAAGATAGGTTGATGGGATACAGAGTCGAAGGCCTTCTTCACGTCCATAAAGGCAATGTTGAGAGGGCAGAGGATATCCTGATGGTGTTTGATAACCGTCTGTGTAAACCATACCGCGTCAGCTATTCCGTCACGGGACCGGAAATCCTTTTGGCAGAGACTGAGCGGAAGGTGCATCTCCATCCTTTGTCCCAGGATCCTATGGGAACATCTCACCACGCTACCGGATATCGTAATGGGACGAAACTCATTAGGAGCACCTGCTCCTGACACCTTTGGGAGCAACTAAGTCGCCTCCTTGCAATATACTCGGTAGGTAGCCTGATAGTAGCCACAGATTGAAGTGAGCTGCCAGCTGGTCAGTTGGTATGGCTCTCTTTAGCTTTCAGCTGTCGGGGCCCGGTGCACCGTCCTTCATCCTTTTCCAAAACCGATCGACATCCTTAGCTGTAATAGGTGCCATAAGCTCCCACTAAGGTGGCCCCAAAGGCTGTGGACACCTATCGTCCGGAACTGCAGGTCACTCTAATAAAAGACCTGTCCAGAATGGTTCTTTAACCTCCATAGGAAGATGAGTTGGAGGATCTTGCCAGGCGCCCGAGATGACATTTTGGGCACAGCAAGACCTGTTGTTATTGTACTCCCGCTGAACGTGGGGATATTGCGCCCTGCGCGTGACTGTAGGTCAATCCTGGGCCCCAGTGCGCTGGGGCCTGGCACTCCTCACCCGGGTAACAGGGCACAATCTGATCTAGTGTTATGTTTCCTAAGTCTAATTGAGTTCCCTCCAGCGCCTTTCTCAAGGCATCCGACCAACCCGCACTGCTCAACGGAGTCAGTCGTTTCGGGCCCGAGAGTCCCGGCCTCAGGCCGTTCTTGAGTAACCTGGGATGGCAACGTTGATGCACTGAAGCTGGCATGGGCTTCAGGGGAATCACCCCCATCCACCCTACCGTCAAGCATTCCATTAGCACCAACCAGAGGGGAAGAACTCCCCCAACAGGGCCGGCTTGCGTTCGATGCACGCCAGTCAGTGAATCCAAGATTCTCTTTTACTCTGCCGACTGCCGCATCTTCTTGATGGCCTCAGAAGATGGACTTGGGAATTGCTCTGCCAAGGTTTTACTTGTGACCGTAATCCCCATTTTAACCCCTCACCAAGAGAACCTTTTCCTCCTATTCCCAGTGTGCTTTCTTCCTCTGCTCAGGCACATGGTCGTTATGGTAGGCCTCTGGGTGCACGCGGCGACGATGCTGAGAGACCCCTGCTTTGCCCCAAAACTCACGACCGTAGTAGGGACATGGCAGGAGACCTGCACCACCTGTCTCTCTTTGAGTAGGTTGAGCGTCGCTAGAAGAGCCCACCGTGGTAGGCTCTCCATGTGTAGTATTTTGTCTATTCATAGCAATGCACAGAGCCCCTGAAGTTTGCCAGCCTACAGGGGCTAAGGGTACCTTTAGCTTGGCTGACTGGTACTCACCACCCCCCAGCTGGTGGTATAAGCTCACAAAGCAACAATGGGACAAGCGTGCAAGGCACGAAGAGACCAGCGCACATCACACTCACATAGAGGACTTGGGCAAGATCATAGCCCACATTAGCCAGTCAAGCAGGTGTAATAGCCTGGCGAGGCAGATGTAATAAGCCTGAAGGCCTCAGGCCTCCTGCTTACGGCAGCATATATGCCCGTCTCTTTGAATTCCTTGGGCAGTTTATGGCCGGCACGTGTATGTAGGGCCTTACGCACCACCGTGCCTCATACAAGATGTAAACAGTTCACCACGCAATTCAGAGCACTAATAAGAGAGACTGAGCCCTCGATGAAATAATATGTGAGGGTGAGGCAGCGTGATCTCCCCGAGCCAAGTAGACAAGGCCTGCATCAGGCGCGGCTGTGTAGACTAGGGGCAGCACGCACTGGCCAGCTACTGACGACTCTCACCACAAGAAGGCAGCACCCTTAGCACTTACCTACCTTACTTAGTATTACATTTGTTGGTCTAAGTGCCTTCATATTGGACGAGCACCAAATCTCTAAAGGTTGTGGATTTGTCACTTTCCAAAGTGAAGATGATGTGCGGAATGTAACCAAGATGGGCACTTTTTTACACAATTAAAAGTCAAACTTGGGGCCTACTGTTAAGAAACAGGCCCCAACACCTTTAGAACAACTAGAACTAGTTGTTGTAGTTGATGAAGGTATGCTCTAGCCACCAAGTGCTTTGCTGTGGAGGGGATGTGTTTTCGAGTTTTTCTTCTCTGCAGTGCTTTTAAGTCACCGGTACTTGAAAATATTAGTCAAGCAGCCTTGAAAAGTCCATTAATTTTAATGGGCATCTTCAATTGTACGAATCATGGTGTATGTTTAAGACACTAGACAAATTTTTGATTTCCTGAAAATTGCTTGGATTTCTTTGTTTTTACACTCAAATATCACAATTTGTTCAGAACTTTAATCAGTTTCTCTGGTTTTAGCTCTTTTGGATAAAAACAATACTACGGATTTGCAAATTAATTTACTGGTGTAAACAGGGAGGGATAATAATTTTTTTATGTTTATTGTCTTTTATATTATGATGTCTTCATCCAGAAGAAGAAAAGTTGGTAAAAGAGAAGAACAAAGGTACTTGGTAGGTTTAAGGACACATATGGTCCTGCACAACTCCCTTATCAACCACCTCCAGAATTCGCCAGTATTCGTTTCTCTCGTCCACTATTTCCGCTCTCATCTTTATCTCTTCCTCTTCTCTGTCTTTCTGTTTTTCTTTTCTCTCTCGTTCACATCTTTTTCTGCTCCTCTTTCTTTCTCTCATCCTCTATTTTTGCTCTCATCTTTCTTTGCTCTTCTTTCTCTTTCTCTTTTTTTTCCAGTTCAGATCTTTTCTCTTCCTCAATCTTTGGTCTTATCTTCCTTTCCATTTCTTCTTTCTCTTTTTCCTTTCTTTCCCATTCAGATCTTCTCTATTCCTCTATCTTTTCTCTCATCTTGCTTTCCATTTGTTCTTTCTCTTTTTCTTTTCTTTCCCTTCCCGTTCATATATTTTGTCTTCCTCTGTCTTCGCTCGCATCTCCCTTTCCATTTCTTCTTTCTCTTTTGCCTTCCTTTACTGTTCAGATCTTTCCTCTTCCTCTCTCTTTCTTTCTAACTCTATTTTCGCTGTCATCTTCCTTTTCTTTTCTTCCTTCTCTTTTTCCTTTTTTTCTCGTTTATATCTCTCCGCTTCCATGAATTTCTACCTTTCGTGCTCTTCTTTCTCTTTCTGTTTTTTCTTTAGTTCCCATTTGGTTCTTTCTTTGTCCTCTTTCCTGCTCTCTTCCTGAAATGACGTGGTTAACTTTATTTCTCCTATTTGCTGTATATCTTTCAGCCTGTCCCTTGCCAACACTTCTTTTCCTTCTTGCATCCCTCTCCCAATGCTCTCTTCCAATTTGGCTTTCTTTCTTTGCTGCATTCTTCATGACAATACTAAGAGGTTTGTCTTCGTCGCCACTACTGTAAGCAGTTTCAGATTCTGTTGAGAAAACCCAGGAAAGAGCTTTCTTAGAAATACTGAACTTTTTGTATTGTTTAGTAATTGTATCTTTAACACGTAGAAACTGCCAGGTTAATTCAGAAGTTGGGCTAGATGTTATCTTACTGCCAGCGTAGAAAGCTACATTAATTCAAGAAGACAGCTTTGATGACAAGAATTTAAAAGGGAAATCAGTACATCTCAAATTTTCATCAAGGTAAGCGTTTTAGACCCTTAAGGTCAATTAGCAAGCAGTCCCCTAGAACAACTGTCAAAACAAGAGGAAAACCCAAAGTACACCAATTAACACTGTCTCTTAACTAATCTATAAAACTGTAATGTCAATAATGTTTGTGAGCTTAAGACGGAATAATTTCATGCGCATTTGCTGTCAAGCAATTAACATGGATAACACTTGAGATTATATTCTTAACAATCAGGGGTTTTTGTACTTGGAGCTTCGCTTGTGAATTAATTACGGTAACACTGGAAGTTTCGTGCCAAATTTTGGAGTGTTGTGTCACTAGTAAAAGTTTAGTTTCTCATGTAAATGTCAAAGAGATCATTGAAACTGTGGAGTAAATGGGTAAGTCAGCAACTTACTCAAATATGTCTCACTGTGTTTGTAAATTGTTGTCCTTGGGTGAAGGAAAGGCTGTGCAGTTTGTTTAGCCCAATTTACTTCATCAGTCTCCTATAATCCACAATATTTTCATCTTGTGATAGAGAGTAATCTAGCCGTTAGACTAATGTCTGATGTTAGAAGATTCAATTTATTTTCCAGAGTTTTAAGACCTACAGCCGCGAAGGTTACTTTAATTGTGCAAATTCTTTTCCGGGAATTATTCTTAAGAGATCTAAGTAGAACATAATTATGACTGATATTGTCAGTACTCAAGACTCGAAGGCAGAGAAAAACTTTTACTCGGCCTATTCTTTGCCAAGTAGCGACATGCTTTTTTTCGATATTGAACACTAATTTAAAAATGGATCATAGATAACTTGCAAGTACCTTTGGAAGCCGAAAATGCTAGGAATTCCCCATCAAAAGTTAGTTCAAGCACGTAGAATATTAATTTTTGGCGGGAAAAATTGCCAGTTTGGATTTCTAATGGATACACGGCATTTTGCAACAAATCCACCTCTTGTAGCTAATTAAGTGAAAATAAATTGGACAACACTTCCGACTTACCTTTTGAATGGTTGGTCTGCTTTGGCTGTTCACTGCCATTTTTTTTCCCTTGATCAATGTGTCACCACTTTGGCAGGAAACCAGTGGCGATTGAATTTGACATCAACCTTTTGTCCCGCAAGTAGCGGCTCAGGACTCTCTAGTTTTAAACATCGTCGTTTAAACGACTGTTTGCTTCCTTTCCAACCAACCTCTGTCAACCAGCAAATTGTGACTTAATCGTCTACAGACATTGTTGGAATAACAAGCTCTTATAGTTTGTGCTGCGACAAGAAACTAGTGGTCCAACTTTGGTTTTGAGAGAACTGATAACTCGAGTGAGGAAGACTGGGAAAGAAAACTGGGTCAGAGAGGTGTTGTGTTACAATGGTGACCATTTTTTCTGTAGCTCGATAAAAATGGCAGAGAGCAGATTGCAGCGTTTGATCGTGTGTGTCAATACACTCACTCAATCAAACGTTGCAATCTGCTCTGTGCAATCTTGTTTACTGATTTGTTTTTAATATAGAAAACCCACACAAACTGAAAACGAAAACACAATGTAAGAATAAAGTTAACAATTGCAACTCACACGGCAACATGGATTTGGATTCGACCTTCACAGAAACATAATTTCTTGAGCTCTTTTGGAACAAAAAGGTGAGATAAGTATACGATGTAAGGTCACACAAATGTATTTCAGCTTGTGCATATGTTGTCTAATTCTGCATCAACACATAGAAGTAATCTCATGACTAATCTGGGAAATGTGTTTTTTAAGGTTCTTACACTGTTTGGGTGATGTACAGCTGATGTGTACCGATTTCACATCAAACAACAGGAATATTTTTGTTTTATTGCAGAATTGTATTATTAAGTTGATTTGTTTTATTTTGATTTTGATTTTGATTTCGACCTGAACTTCATAGTTAAAGTTATTTTTGTTTTCAAAAACCATAACCAGATAACCAATCGTGACTTTTGTTGAATAATTATGTTTGTACCTGAAATAAATTTTAGCTGTTGACAGCTATACAAAAGGTCTGGGGCTTGAAACGGGTTTCAAAAACGGGTTTCAAACGCATTTCAAACATAAACGCCCTTGAAACGCTTTGAGTTAAGCCCCTTTTTCCCCTGGAGGGTCACATATATGAACGTTTAGGAGAGGAGTTTAGGAACCCAGTTTCTACAACAAATCTTGGTGCCACTCATAATTTGTAAAATCAAGGAAGCACGCGGGAGGTTTGTAATTGTTGTCTATAATGCAAACAAAATTAAACACATATATGTTTTGTATTTTTATATTCCTTGTACATAAATAAAGTTGGAACCGTAAGATTTATCTTGAGATGAATTTGTAAGGAGTTCAACTTATGGAATAATCTGTTAATTAACGGATCTAAATTGTGTGACTTATTACAATTAATGTTTTTCCATTCCTAAAGGTTATTTGATGTGCAGTGTGCAACAATGTTATATACCGTCCTTTAGTTTAAAGTGCGTTGTGTAAATAAACGTCTATTGTTTTTGTAATATGTAAAAGTAATTTGTATATTTGTGTAATTCACTATGTATTAATTAACAAGGGACACCATAACTGCCGTATGGTACTAACTTAATTTCATTCTAGTGAGCGTTTTTTCTTGTTTTTTAGTA